GTAAAGTAATTTTAAAACTGTTTATTGGAAAACTGAAGTAATGCATTCTGGGTACATGACGGACTGACGGGAAACAAAAGCACAGGGAACAGGAAACTAGTATCTTTCCTTCAAAATAAGAGCTTGGATTTTAAAGTTTTTCATGTTTCCATTGGATTTTAAAGTTTCCCAGTTCACCTGAAACTCATCAGACTAAAGAAGTCTCTTGGAGGAGAGACGAAACGTTTCACTAAAGAAGAACCCATTCAGAGGACCTACTTATTTTTTCTTTTTGGTTTTTTTTTCTACCTGGATTAGGACGTTTTCCATGTAGTTACTCCAGTTGACCACTAGATGTCAGTCTTCACTTGCATAACATCTTTAAATCTTTTCTGAGTCTCTAACACGAGCTCCAGCGTTTAAACTTTTTTTTTTTTAAAAGGAGCTCCAATTGTAAAGTAAAATAAATCAATACATACAAAATTTTAATATGGATTACAAGTGTTTACTGTTTTTGGTGGGAAAGGGAGTACTAAACATTGCCTTCCCGCTATGTAACCAGACACAAAGCATTGTGGGAAATGAGAATCCTGACCGAGAGCAACAGTCAGGAAGGATGTATACGTTTCCAATACATGTGTTTATCTGGGAGGGGTACTGTTGGGCAGATCATGTGTGTTGTGATTCATTGACAGCCATACCTTCCACTGTTTAAGATAATGACGACTGGTAGATAATTAGTTATTAGCGGTACTGCATTTTAATTTTAGAAAGCGCAAACCYGCTTATGAATTATAAAAATCARTAAGTCTGCTAAAGCGCAAATGAAATATTTAGGTCCGTAATTAGTGAATTTGCTCTTTAGCTGGCTTGTGCCCACCACTGGTTGTAGCTAATTTCCATTATTTCTTGAAAATTATTTTATGCATGAACTCATAGGTATCGTGTGATCTTCTGGTTAATGAAATATGTTTTGTGAATGACTCAAAACTACTACCACACCAAATTTTAGCTTCAAACATAAAGTTATGACCATTTTATTGTTGGCTAGTGTCAATTAACCATTTTTAATTGGGATGACTCCAAAAACTAGTGAGTTGTAGCTAAATGTGCATTCACTGATTAGTTTGGGACTTTTAAAAAATTTTACTCAGTGGTTTGTGAGACATTTTGCTAATGTTACAGATGAACAAACACATGGTACCATTGATTCTGCTTCTGTACTTTGTGTCTTGGACACCACTGTTTAAACTCCTTAACCCGACAGTTTTGTGATGAAGAGCGTACCCCTCTCTGATTAATGAATCTGTTTATGAACGTTTGATGTGCCTGGGCCACTTGAGTATGTTGCTTGTTGTCATGGTGAGGCTGCTGCACATAATGAGCTGACCTCATTAGCAACTGAAAGGTGCCTTTTTTTTGTTCATGTTCTGTCACATGCCATGTTTGGTTGTGCTTTGTCAAATTTCAGTAACCCTGGCTGTACCATTCTCAAAGTCGAACAGCCGGGTACTTTGTCACGTGACCATGTTGTAGATGGAGGCTGACRTATTGGTTTGGGGGTGTTATGGATTAATTATTTATATCTGTTTCACCTTGACGCTGTCCAGTATTCATATCTTATGATAACTAGTTTTCGGCTGTTTTAATCTATTGCCCTAGACTTCAAGACTCCAGCAATGCATGACCTCTCTTATTTTGATAAGGTAGCTTCTGGGCTGAGAGCCCTGTTATTGGTTAGGTGGTTACAGTTATCGAACGGTGATTGGTTGTAAGCATGTCACATGATGTTATATTATTGGCTGCTCTATGCTGAGGGGCAGCCACAACACGACAGACTTCGCTGACTGACCTCTGCTTTGTTGTTGCTCAGATTAAATCATTTGATGACCATACACGCAGACTTTCTGTGCATTTATTCCAATGTGTTTCTGCATTCTTGGTAAATCGTGCCACCACAGTTTTTTGGCGTTGTCGCAGAGACCACTAGGAGATCAACGTACCAAGGCCACATTGCATGTGGACTGATATGAATGAGCAAGGACTGGACTGCTCAGTACCGTGACTCCAGCTGGATGAAAAGAACCTTTTTTATGGTAAATTGTTTTAACAACAGAGATACACTGGTGATGATTGTGATGGATGATCTTGAATAAAAAAAGAACATTGAATTTTTATTTTTGGTTGTTGAAGAAACTGAGAAGATTTTTG